ACACATGGTGGTCATGGTTTAGCACAATACAGTTACATACCATTGCAATGCATCCATATGAAGACGTTGTTCCGCAGGTTCGTCATTGTCTTTTTCAAATGGCTCGCTCTGGCTAGAACATGCAAGGCTTGATGGACAAGTCTTCCGTTGTTAACATTTTTGTTAACGTGTGAATAAAAGTGTTTTTTGACGCTATAGTATATAATCGCATATATCTAATCAAACTACAAAAATGGCTGAACGGGGTGGAGTTGAAGCGAGTGTGAACTCAAACAGGCGGGGTATGACACATCTCCTTTTTATTTAAAGAGACTTTATACTTCAAAACGAGTTGCTCACAGACACACATCAGAAAAGGGGCCTGTGGAGCTATAATAATGAGGAATTCAGATCCAAGCATTGCAGTTATGCTTTATATAGATCACAAATGTATGATTTATTTAAAATGAATGATTTAAAAGCATGATATGTACCATTTAATAAAAGGTTGTGTCTGCACAAACCCTTGGCGTTAAAAAACTGGCAGGATTGCATGCATTTGCAGGAGTGTCTCTTTCAGACGCAACATTTAGGTGACTAGGTTTGCAAGTCATTTTACTGGTATTTGCACCATTATTTGCCTCTCAAAAAGCACGCCTGTTATTGGTAGATTGCATTAGCCATGGTCAAGGAAATGATCCAGCAGTGTCTGTGTTCTTCCACAGACGCAGCAATAAAATTAACATATTACAGACGTATCGTTCTGGATTAGGCGTCAAATTGTTTGTCTTAATAAACAAAAACATTGAGAAACTGCTTTCCTCTTTCGTCGGGCCAGATGTCTTTTCTGCAAATTACCTTTAACAAAAACATTTTTTTTCACTAGTGGAAGTTTTAGACTTCTGCTCACAATTTACATAAAGAACAAAAGGTTAATCTAACCTTTAACCTTCAACAAAAACATAATTGTTTCACTGTGGTCTAGTGGAACTTTTAGACTTCTGCTCACAATTACATGAGGAACAAATTAGTTCATCTAAGTCAGAGACACTGACACAAAGAAAAGCATTGGACATATACTATTTCAAATTATAATAGTGATAAACACAACAAACTGATTTCTTCAGATATGATTGACGATAGACCTTACAACCCAATCACCCATTATGATCAAATGAATGATGAAATTGTAAAACCAAATATAACCAGGCTAGCTCAATTCTTTGAAGCACACTGCCATATGAAACTCCATGTAGGCTGTAGTATCCTAGAGTAACCACTATGTGTCGTTTTTGTATTACAATACAAGTGATTTGTGCCCCTGACCATAGACTGTAAAAAACGCCCTGACCTTTAAAGGTAGTTGAAGAAGATCCAGTGTTATTCTGTTGCTGTTACTGCTGGAAACAAGTAAAGTTATAACTACAACTCAATGTATGTAGTCTGATTTATAGTGAATATAGCCAATACTACATAGGCTTAAATCATAAACTGCAAAGTGTTAATGAAAACTCTTCCAAAACAGACTTTATTCGCAGTCTATGGCCTATATTCTTTTTATTCAGAATGACATGTCTGGTCATTTTTTAGATTAGGCAGCTGGTTGATTTCAGGAACGGACAGAACGAAACTGAATTGTCCGAATTACATGCGCCAGAAGAAAAGAAAAGAAAAGAAAAGAAAAGAAAAGAAAAGAAAAGAAAAGAAAAGAAAAGAAAAGAAAAGAAAAGAAAAGAAAAGAAAAGAAAAGAAAAGAGGATCGTATGTGAATGGCGGATGGCAACATAGCTTCTCAGGGCAGCGATTTAATTGGCCATTTAGGGCTGTCACTCACAGATCCCATGAGGCACGCCTACAATGACGTAACCTATAAATGTTTAGGCGGAAAGAAAGCTGTTCTTGAGAATTGAAACTGACGGTAATAGCGCCGTATTTCTGTCTTTAAAAATACTTATCTTATTTCTTAAGCCTCTCGTGCAACATAAGAAAGTCACAGTGTGCCATAGGCCTACTGCTGGAACAAAAAAAGTAAAAGTAAGTAGGCTATATATATATATCTTTTGTCACTTTGTGCTTTGTGTCTCTCATTAACAAGTCGCCAAAATTACACTACAACCTTTAGGATAGACTGTGTACAGTTAAGACACCTTAAATTGCTTGCGCATGCAGCAAGCACAAGTTGTGAGTTTTGCTGTGCACATGCATATCAATGCACTGATTAGTGTGATGATCGTGGGAAATCAAATTTGAACAATGGACGCATCTTCGATCCGAAGATAGCCTATCGGCAAAAGTTTTTTTTTCTTTCTAAGATTACTTTCACTTCACCATCCTCTCCACAATGAATAGCTTATTATCCGTGACTGTTAAAGGGATACTCTACTTTTTTGGAAATAGAGTTAGTTGAGTTTTACCATTTTAGAATCCATTCAGCCGATTTTCTGATATTTAGAAGAATATCAGTAACCAGACAGTTTCTGATTAGTTTCTTAATTAGTTTCTTAAATCAAATTAATGAATTTAAAAGGATGAATAAACAAAGATGTTGCAATTGTTATTTTCTTTATTTGTCTTTATTTATTATGTTTGCAATGAACGGTTAGTTACCTTTACATCATTATAAATAGGTGTCTCAACTGTACCATGGTCTCAACTACCTACTACGGTAGTTTAGACAAAGTTAATAAGAAAAACATTATTTTTATGAGCTAATTGTGGAAAATATTAACTACTTATGGGTATTATTGATTGATGACATCTTAGTCTACAAGTTAATGAAATGTCATGTGGCATGTCATGTGGGAATGTTCTTCTTTTCAGTATCTATGTTTGTGTGAAAAATCAAAATGCAAAAAGTGTCTCAACTGTACTCAGTCTACCCTACTCATTATGTTTGCTGCTGAAGCTATACATTTGGTCTGTTCCCATAATGTCGATTTTATTATTCATGGTTAATGTTTCAACCAGATTTATTACAGTCCCTGACTATTTAGGAACAGTAAAATACCATCTGGCCGATAAACAGTAACAAGGTCTCTGCGTAGACCACATTTTTTTTGAACAAATCACTTTGGGTTAAATGTGAATCTCATAAGAGAAACAATTTGATTATTGTAATAACAGGAATTATTGGCATTTATGCTTCAAGAATAAATGTGAAGCATATACTTCAATGTACTTAACTTTTACAGTTTAAAACATGGAAACTCAAGACCCTGCTGTTGTTGAGGCAGTAAAGGCATCAGGCGAGTCCACTCTGGAAAAGGCTACAGCAAAAGCTAAAGAAACATTTGACCAGTTGTTAAATGTCTCACTTAACGTCGCCGTGACCGGAAAAACAGGATCTGGGAAATCCTCCTTTGTAAATGCCCTTAGAGGTGTAAGTGAAGAAGATGATGGAGCAGCACCTACCGGAGTTACAGAAACTACTATGAAGGCCACCATGTATGAACATCCTATGCCAAATGTGAAGATCTGGGACCTGCCTGGAATAGGAACACCAAACTTCAAAGCAGATAGATACCTTAAAGACGTCAAATTTGACACCTATGATTTCTTCATTATCCTTAGCTCAGAAAGGTTCATGCAGAATGACATCATGCTGGCTAAAGAAATAAGAAAACGGAAGAAAAGCTTTTACTTTGTTCGTTCCAAGATTGACAATGACATCAGAGCAGAGGAAAAGAAAAAGGGATTTGATGAGCAGAAAGTTCTTGCCATTATAAGAGAGGACTGTCAAAAAAACTTGAAAGAATTGGGAGACCCCAATGTTTTCTTGATCTCGTCTTTTGACTTGGAGAAATATGATTTTGAAATGCTTCAAAACACTCTCGAAGAAGAGCTTCCAGACCATAAGAGATCTGCTCTTCTACAAGCCTGGCCAGTGTGCTCCGCAGCATCTCTTGAGAAGAAGATCAAATTCTTTGAAAGCGTGATCTGGGCTGTATCTCTTGCCTCTGCTGGTATAGCAGTGGTCCCTGTGCCTGGTCTGTCAGTAGCATGTGATGCAGGCATGGTGTTGCTTTTCTTCACAAGATGCTACTATGCATTTGGTTTGGATGATGGATCACTGTCAAGGCTTTCGGAAAAACTTAACAAGCCCATGCTGGAACATCTGTCCAAATCAAAGTTAGCAACTGCCATCCGTGAAAAAACAATGGCCAGGATTCAAGTCTCTGTTTCACTTGCAGCACTTGCTACCGTTGAATATGCTGCAAGTCTCCTTCCAGTGGTGGGCAGTGTTGCAGCTGCAGGAATATCGTTCGGTACTACTTATTACATCTTGAGAGATGGATTAAAAGAACTAGCAAATGTTGCACGAGAAATCAGAAGAGAGGCAGAGCTGGACACTATGCAGTAACAATTCATGTATATGGTTTATATTGATTTTATTGGTTAATTTAACTTGAGGCATGTAAACATTTTCTGCCTTTGTTATGGAGTTAATGGCCATATCATGTTTGATTGTTTGCTGATTAGAAAAGAGATTACAGTACCCATATGTCTTCACTATACATATGGATGATTTCAAAAAGTCATTATTGTCAGAGGAAACATTGTTCAAAAAGAAGTTGTTAATTCAATTTCATGTTTAGGCCTGTTTTTAAATAGCTTACAATTTGTGTTAAATTTCTCTGAAATTTCAGTCTTACATAAAATGTATTTGTTCTATCAAATCTCATACAACAAAAAATATATACCTTTCTGTGAGAAATGTTTGCATGTGTGGTGTAACTATACACCTAATCTTATTTCTAATTTTCCTACATTTTCCAGTTATGTACAAATTTGTGATATAAATATACAATCTCAGTTGGGACGGGGAGATATTAAGCTGTAATTACGATGAAAAAGTTAGACATGAAATATGCATGACCCACCAAAAGAAATTATGACTTTGAATTTAGTTAAACCATGCAATGATTTATCATAGAAGATGTATCCCTTCTATAATATTTTGTTTATGTATTTTACAGTAAAGAATTTACCCAGGTATAAAGACAGAAAATTCTTCTTTTGACATGGATTTATCTGGAGCTTTGCAGAGAGTGGGAGAAGATGACCCAAATGCAGCTGTTGCAAAGGCTAAAGAACAACTGGACAGTCTTGACAGTGTGACTCTGAATATTGCTGTAACTGGGGAAACAGGAGCAGGAAAATCTGCGTTCATTAATGCATTTCGAGGTCTGGGTGATGATGACGATAATTCTGCACCGACTGGAGTAACTGAAACCACAACGCAAATTACCATGTACACCCATCCCACCAAATCAAACACCCGACTGTGGGATCTGCCAGGGATTGGTATGCCAAAATTCAAGGCTAACGAATTCCTCAAAGACGTGAAATTTGAGACGTACGATTTATTTATCATCATTTCCTCAGAGAGGTTCAAGGAAAACGATGTATTTCTGGCCAAGGAGATTCAAAAAAAGAAGAAAAATTTTTATTTTGTCAGGACCAAGATTGATAATGACATTCGTTCAGCGGCACAGAAAAGAAATTTCAATGAGCAGCAGGTGCTCTGCACAATTAGAGAGGATTGCAACAGAAATTTGAAAGAAGTTGGCAACCCCAAGGTGTTTCTGATATCCTCTTATGACTTGGGAAAATATGACTTCCAAGACCTGGTAGATACCCTAGAGTCAGACCTTTCAGAACACAAGAGTTTTGCTCTGGTTCAGTCTGTGCCTGTGTGCTCTCTGGCAATGCTAGAAAAGAAGAAAGAGTTAATGGAGAAGCTTATTTGGCTTCCAGCATTGGCCTCTTGTTTGGGTGCCTTTGTCCCTTTCCCTGGATTATCAGTGGTCATCGACAAGACGGTATTGACAGCATATCTCTTAGGTTGTCATTACAATTTGGGTTTGAATGAGAAATCACTCACCAAACTGTCAGAGAGAATGGACAAGCCTGTCTCACAGCTGCAGTCAGCTATAAAGTCTCCTGTAACATCAGCAGTGGTAAACACACTGGCAACTAGGCCTCATGCATCTATGAAAACAAAACCAGTGAAAAGCTTAGATGATTTGCTAGATAGTAAATTTCTTGTAGCCAGTGTTCTGAATGCAACAGAGGCATTCAAAGCGACACACGCTGTCCTGAGTGAAGCTCTAAATGACATGATCAATGACATGAGACGTGTTCTCCAAGTAGCAGGTTTGGATGGATAAAATAGAGATGTTTAGCAAAAATGTTTGTTAAATCAGAACATCAAAACTTAGTTTATTAGCCAGGTTTGGCGAATTTGCACTGGAGAGTTATCTCCCCAAAAAGTAAAATGGTTGGAAAGAGAAAGTTTACTGAATATTGTCCATAATTTTCTTCATATTTTATGAAGGTGCATGTTAAATGGAATGGAAATGGAATAATATGTATTTTAATACATACAGAATTGGTCAAATGTGTAAGAATCTGGTTGTCGGTTCAAGGCATACATTTTCTGTCTAATCTTTTTATTGTGCAATTTTGTAAATGAGGACTATTAACTTTGTTTAATTGTTTTACAATGTACTGTAGAAGGGCTTAATGCCAAGGGTTGGGATCTCTTTACAGTATCTCTTACTTAACGATAAACCTTTCTGTATATTCCATAGTTATTTTTTAATTAATGATATTGTTTATATTGTTAATGAAATTACACGTATTGATGACAAATGATAATAAAAGGCATATGGCATGTGTTGACTTTCAGGATGAGCTATAGTTTTGAGTTAGGGATTTGCATTTATTATCCCAAATATTTGTGGTTTACTTAAAAAAGGTTCAAAGATTATAAATAGATTTTTAGGTTTATATTAATAAATGTGTAGTGATTGTCTGAAATTAAACATTTTGTTGGTGCTACATTTTGCTTACATATTTCATTTAAGATATACGTAGTGTTGGCAGTTGATTTATTGAATTCTCTAAAATGTTGGTTTGGTGTGTGAATACATGAAGCTATTGTAAGACAAAAATAAAAAAGCTCTTTGTTCACAGGTTTATTTTCAGTCGTTTTATCAGCTGCATGACACGTTTAATTTATGAAGCCTATTGAAAAAGTAAGGTGTGACTAAGCCGAAGCCGTTGCGTTGGGTGTCACAGTAAAAGATTAGTCCAGTTCGTGTCATTGATACCTAGATATTATTATTACATAGATTCATGCTTGAGTTATAGGGACAAATAGCATCTTGATTAGCATAGTTTCACTAAAATTATTTCTACGATTTTCAGGTCTGTTAAAAAAAAAAATCAAACATTATGTTATAGTATATTAACCTGTCCATTACAAACAGTTTTTATGTTTTGCATAACAAGAGAAGTGTGGTGCATTTTTAATGAATCTTTTTTATTAAAGAAATAGTCTTATTTACAGACACCTTTGTCCAAAGAGACTTACAAATGAGGATAAAGCAAGCGAATCAACATGAAGACTCAAGAGGCCAAAAACAACGAAAGAATTAATCAAGTGTCTTCTGCATTCTAGATGAAGGCATACCAGTCCCCATCTCTTCTATTCTTTTGCAATAATTTGGGCAAAATAATCAAAAGCAAAATGTGGTGCCTTTGCATCAGAATACTTTGAAAGGGGCGGATTGGAATCCACGGCTGCTTCTATGTATATATATAATAAGTGATCAAACAAGTTGAATGACTTCTCTGGAGATTTTCCTTTAAGTTACCAGTGTGATTACTGAAATGTTCTTTTCATGTATTCTTTAATATCTGTATTTGATATCAGGATGAGCTATAGTTATGTGTTAGGGATTTGCATTTATTGTCCCAAGTATTTGTGGTTTACTTTAAAAAGGGTAAAAGATTATAAATAGATTTTTAGGATATTAATAAATGTGTAGTGATTTTCTGAAATTAAACAATTTGGTGGTGCTACATTTTGCTTACATATTTCATTTAAGATATACGTAGTTTTGGCAGTTGATTTATTGAATTCTCTAAAATGTTGGTTTGGTGTGTGAATACATGAAGCTATTGTAAGACATGAAGCTATTGTTTTTAAAAATATAAAACGCTCTTTGTTCACAGGTTTATTTTCAGGTGTTTTCTCAGCTGCATGACACATGTTTAATTTATGAAGCCCATTGAAAAGTAAGGTGTGACTAAGCCATTGCGTTGGGTTTCACAGTAAAAGATTAGTCCAGTTCTTGTCATTGATGCCTAGATATTATTAGTATTATTATTACTACATAGATTCATGCTTGAGTTATAGGGACAAACAGCATCTAGATTAGCATAGTTTCACTAAAATTATTTCTACGATTTTCAGGTCTGTTAAAAAAAAAAATCAAACTATATTATTGTGTTATAGTATATTAACCAGTCCATTACAAACAGTTTTTATGGTTTGCATAAGAAGAGAAATGTGCATTTTTCATGAACCTTTTATTAAAGAAATAATCTTATTTACAAGTCATATAGCAGACACCTTTGTCCAAAGTGACTTACAAATGAGGATAAAGCAAGTGAATCAACATGAAGACTCAAGAGGCCAAAAACAACGCAAGAATTGGAATCCACGGCTGCTTCAATGTATATATAATAAGTGATCAAGTTAAGTGAGTTATGATAAGTGAGTTGATGACTTCTCTGGAGATTTTACTTCGTTATAAGTTACCAGTGTGATTGCTGAAATGTTCTTTTCATGTTTTTATTATGTCTGTATTTGATATCTGAATGCAGTAACAGTGCTTGCTAATTTAGCCTGGCTTCCAGAAATGAAATATGCGCTTGTTTTGTGTTTGAGAAAGGTCTTCAACATTGAAGCCAATAGTTTAAGGCACCATTTTCTCCACACTGTTCATGCATAGGCTACTCATGTGCTGTAAGGTGCTGTGCCAATAGCTTTAATTTCTTTACATTAATAAAAGAAAATTATTTAGCTGAATGCATTTAGAAAGAATATAATACATTTGTGTGTTATACCTGAAAGGGAGTATGTTTATCAGTAAACACTCAAAATACGATGCTTCACAATCATAGAATTTACTGAGAAAGAAACAAATCACGAGAACTCCCTGATAATGAGAAAACGCACACACGCGACCAATCAGATGCATCCATTTTAACAATGTTAACATTTAGATTTTTAACATCATATGAATTTACTAAACATAAATTAACAGAAAACAAAGTTTTTAGAGTATTTGACAACATGTGACCATTTCATAATTATTTCGACTGATTACTCATTGTATGAACTGAAATGATCCTATGAATTAAACCTCAGGAAAACACATAGAGTAGTTCTTCAGTATATTATTTTGTTCACTTATTATATTGCACACCAATTATAAACAAAAACAGTTGTAAGCAGAAATATGTGATGCTAAACGGTCATTTAAACAATTTATTTCTGCATCATACCTCATGTTTATTTATGTTGCTTTACTATTCTAGCTATATAATATGCAAAAGCACTTGCCCTGACAGTGTTGAGGTTATCAGACAGTGCACTTTCCAAGCCTATAAAGTCAAGTGCACTTCTATCAAGGCTATTGATGAGAAAAATCTGTTGTTCATCCAGATTTGCCATCTGAAGCTCTTGTGTATATTGTGCCCGTAGCCCATCAAGTATCTCAGCCTCATCACAGTACAAATCTGTTCGCGTCTGTAGGTGACAGTCTGCTTTGGTTTGGACCAAGAGGTAATGCTTCCTTAGTTGTTCAACTGCTTTAGCTAGTTTTATATGCCGTGCTTTCTGACAGTCTGATAGAATGATGATATAGAAGTCATACCAATTCAGGACTTGTTTCGTACAATTCATTGAGTCATCCACGTATGCCTCTACGCCAGATACATCCCAGAACCGGACATCTGGGTATCCCGGACACTTTGAAGGGTTGCTGATGTATGCTGTTGCTGGATCACTCACCTCATTCTCAAGACCAATTAAGGCATTTACTAGAGTGGATGCTCCAGACCCCGTCTCACCCAAAACTGCAACGTCAAGCTGAAAGTGACTCAGAGCCTCTAGTACAACTCTGACATTTGCGGCTCCAAAGCCTGTGCGCTTATACATATTTTGCAAAGTTGTGATGTCGTCAGCTTGAAGTTTTCCAGTCTGTTGGATGTGGTATGTAGCATGCCTAAAGTAATAAAGAAATATCAATTAAATTAATGATAGCGGTGATGTGACATCCATTGATTGTCCTTTCTATTCATTTATTTAGAAATACATTAAAAATGCCAAACATTCAATGAATGAAACGTTCAAAAATTCCGAGAATGATTATTATACTCTTACATTATTATACTCTCTTCCAAACTATTTGAATTACCGAGACAAATTACTACTGTTTTTAGAACCAGCTTTTAGTTACAGTATACTCACCTTGCATTGATCCAACCTCCGTGAAACATCTTGTCCAGAAAACTTGAAAATAATTCTGCTCCAAGCTGAGAAACCTCATTCTTAAGAGTGTCCGTGAGCTTCTGCATCTCATAATTTTGTGTCTCATGGGCTGAAACTAGGAACACATGGGGGTCCAACTTCTTCTCCTTCAGATACTTCTCACAGTCTCGTCTCATTTGATCCAATCCACGTTTTTCAGAGAATGTCCTTTTCTTTCTTTGGGATACCATATCATTATCAACTTTTGTTCTAATAAAATAAAACGGCTTCTTTCGTTGCCCAATTTCGTCGATCAAAAGCATGTTGTTTTCTCTGACTCTCTCGGATATCACAACCATAAACATGTCATATAGATCAAAATTCATTGTCTTTACATAACTCTTGGAAGTAAAGGAAGGGGTGCCCATCCCTGGAAGATCCCACAGTCTGACGTGTGGGAGATTTGGATGCTGATACATAGTTGGCTCCTTTGTGGTTTCTACAGCTCCAGTTGGAGCCGCCCGCATGTCATCAGGTTTCAGTCCGCGGAACACATTGATAAGAGAAGACTTTCCTGCACCAGACTCTCCAGTCACAGCAATATCTATCTTAAAATGGTCAAAAACCTCCAAAAGAGAAATAAGCTGATGGGGAATTTTCTCTGGGCTTTCAGAAGCAAACACATCCTTGATTTTGTTGAAATGATCCTCTCCAATTTTTTCTGGCATGTAAAACCTATTGAAAATATGATATTCTGTCAACATTTTATCCTAGCTAACATTTTTTTTTAAATAACATTATTAAATCATCGCACATTTGGAGTGTTATTTGGCCACCTGTAATGAACTAGCCTACACTGTAAAAATGAAAAGAGGACCCTTGAGGCCCTTAGGGGTTCTCTAGAAATATCTTGACAGACACTCTTTTAAAGGAGCCTCGATATGACTGTGTTCATTGGAGTTATCAATCTGAGAAACTCGAAATGGTGGCTCAAACATCTTTTTTAACAGTTTAGGTACTACAGCTTTTTAATCACTTACTGTCGGGAATTTGTCGTGTCCAGTGAGGACAGTATAACTGATTTTATCGCGTCGAATTTAGTTATTTTAAAAACATGTAGACCCTGCTTTTTTCTTACTGTTACGTCTGCGTTTTAAAATGCTTCTAACTTTGGACTTTGAAAATGGAGATTGGCCTACTGGTCAACTACACGGTCTAACTAGGCCTACCTAAAATACGCACTCAAAATTTACATCGCATTGATATTTATCGTTGTCATGTTTTTAAAAAGAGATTGATAGGCGTAATATGCTACCTTTAGGAAATTCAGTCGAAAGGGTTTTTTTTAACACAGCGACTTTGACAAGTGGATAACGTTGTAAACATTACATTTCAACGCTTATTAATTACACTTTTTCGTTGAGAGCATGCTACTCATGACAGTCTTGCCAATAGCCTAAATCCACTCACCTATCCATTGCGCTGTCGTTTGGCGGTTTCAGTTTCCACGAAATCCCAGTGAAATCGAAAGTAAGGTAGGCTATATAGGCGATGTGCAAAAAATGCACTAACAAAACCAACACACTGTCATATTTATCATGCTTTCTTGACAATTTAATTTCAGAACTGCGGATACTAATAAAAACTACGGCTGTTTACAAGCCGAATTAGCCTATCGAACTAAACACAGGCAGTAGGAGGAGGGAAAGTGATCGACGTCATGAAAGCGAAACTGTGTTTAACTTTAACCTTTTTTATTTTATTAGCTTGTTAACCTTTTTATTTTATTATTAAAATGTCACATACATAAACAAAAACTGTTAAAAAAACAAAGAAATCTGTGAAATATTTAAAATGATATGATACACTCTTCAATACCTCTGGTGTTTTGTAATATCCTTATTTGTTAAATTTGAATGTGAGCAATATATTTTTTTCTTTTTTTTGGTCTTGATTTTTTATATCCTGTTATTATTTGTATGTTACCTTTTCTGCAATAAGAAATTAAATTAAAACATTTAAAAAAAAAAAAGATCGTTTAACTAGAAATGACGTAGGCCTATATCAGATTTTGTATTATTAACGTTCATTGTGGTTTTGAGTCATTTGGAAAAGTAGCCTATATTTAATTTAAATATATATATATTTAAATTAAATATAGGCTACTTTTCCAAATGACTCAAAACCACAATGAACGTTAATAATACAAAATCTGATATAGGCCTACGTCATTATATATCGTGTCTATTTCTAAAAGATTCAAAACTGAGCTGTGTTATTAAATGCCCATCCTTATATTTTAGCCTACTGCAAGCCACGTATATAAATCTTACAAATGTTCAGATATCAAAAATGAATGCAGATATCAAAAACCAATCATGGGTACATTAATTTATAAATAATACTGATATTATTGTTTTATGATTTTATTTGCTCAGTTGGCAAAATGGGGGAGACAAACGAATTAATTGTAGGCTTGTCTTGAATGTCAGGTTAACCTGAAACAGTGGCACTAACAACAAAACAAATGAAACACATTTTAAAAGAATAAGCAAAAGAATTCAAGAAATCCCATTTCTGAACCAACCGAAGTAGGCTACTCCAGTATTATGACACAAATGAAATTCTGTCTCAATTTCAATCCAGCAGAGGGCAGCAAAGACCATTTATAGATCATTAAAGTCCCTGTAAAGTCAAAATTAAGTATGTGTTCTGAGTTTGTCACACCACAGAAAAATGTGTAATTAGCCACCCAGACAAATTTGAATGATAAAAAAAGTCGGGAAGTACATAAAATAAGCAATCAAAATCATGAAAAAATGAGCAGATTCTCTGCTCTCAAACGCTGGGGGCGTGTCTGCTGGTTGTGCTGAAACCACGCCCACTCACGGGAAAGCTGTTGACGGTGATATTAGCTGATTAGCTTTTGGAGACGGGAGGATGAAAGCTGAGGCGGGAGATCGTCGTTTCGGCCCCGTTCACCAGTAACAGCGGATTATCAGTGAATTATCAGTGAATCCAAGTTGTCTCTGAGGAAAGTTTATAAAACGATCCAGTGTAAAATGATCACTACAGAGGCGGGTGTTGCTGTCGGTGATCCTCAGCTCGTCATCAAGGTAACGTTAGGCTCTCTAAAAACCTCTTCTTGATGTGATCGTTTTTAAGGGAATTTAAATGAAGATACCGATCTGTTTTGTACATGATCGCATCCAGGTAGTAGCCCATGCATGTCCGTGTCGAAGGCATAGCTAACGTTAGCTAGAAAACTGTAGGCTCAGATGAAATAGTACTGACAGTCACTCGCGATTGAGCTAACACAGTCTCATCCCAAATCGTCATATAACTGACGTTTTGGGACGTATTTTGACCATACGTCAATATCCGCCTTTTTAGGGCCCCCTTAAACGTCGGTAGATGGCGATCCCGGGCCGTCATACAACTGACGCTTTACCTTTAACGTCAGTTAGGTGACGGGTTAGGTTTAGGGTTAAGTTTAGGTATGGGGTAGAGTTAGGATCCCATAACCTCATCTACCGACGTTTAAGGGGGCCCTAAAAAGGCGAATATTGACGTATGGTCAAAAGACGTCCCAAAACGTCAGTTATATGACGATTTGGGATGAGACCGGGTTGATTGAGCGGTGAATGCGAATGTGCTCGGGGAGTGTGTGTAGAGATCAGACTCTGTGCGTCATCAAATAGGGGGGTGTCCAGCAGCTCATGGGTTCCAGTGCGTCACGGAGCCCTGTTTTAGCCCCGCCCAATTAATCCGTAAAATTGCAATGGTGAAAAACTGTTTAATGGTCTAACTCCACATTTCAGTACTTCACAGTTCACAGACTTTGTAATATGTTTTAGTAATACATATGTAACATTTATAATGTGTTTAGAACTTTTTTGTAGAATTGACTTTACAGGGACTTTAAATGGTTTTCACCAAAAAAAAAAAAAAAAAAAATCTTCTATCGCTTTATGAACTTTCTGAAGCATCAAAGCCATAGTTGTAGCTGTCAAGGGGGGGACATACATCTCAAAAAGATCTTCATTTGTGTTTCGAAGATGAAACGAAAGTTTGGAACAAATGAGGTTGCGTAACCTAATAGCCTAATTTTCATTTTGCATGAACTACGTAGGCCTACCCAGCTTAGGAAAAACACTATTTTTATTGGATTGTAAATTCCAGCTTGGCAAGTGGTTTAATTGACACAGATTTGTCGGCAAAAGAAGATATAAAAAAAAAATCTGTTGTTTGTTTTATCTTAAATTCTTTATTCAATGCGACCTATAAAAACAGTGCCTTTTCGCTAAACATTTAGTTGGCATGAGGTAGGATTTAAAATGTCTTAAGCTAACATGCTTAATCTGGTAAATATTAAGTCATTTGAATAATTTCGGTTGTCCAGTGTTGATGGTTTCGCACGATTCATTTGTCTTGTTAATATATTTTACAGTCTTAAGTCTAAGATTAAACTTTGCTGTCAGGATGAAGTGTTTTCTTGGGTCTCCCCATGACAGTGTCTTCCTGAGAGAGATGCTGAATCCACCACACCTCTCTCACTCTCGTCTTCCCTCTCCCTTCTTTTCTCTCTCCTCTTCCTTTTAACAGTTTCTGAAGGCCCTTCCCAGGGCACCCCACCTATAAGAGATAGGGTAATTATTTTTCATCAGAAATGGCTTATACTCTATGTAACCATAAACCCTGCCACTAGGTGTCAGTACAACGGCAACAAGAAAACATTTAAAAAAAATTGATCACAGTTATGATAAGCATACAGAGGCGAATCAAGGTTAATTATTGTACCCACCGTGTCTACCACATGGCAAAGAGGAAGGACGGAAGTCTTCCAAAAGTTCCTCGCTTCTGAATCCGGTTGGAATGGGAAATGGAAAGGAGCAGTAAAATTATAACAGAATCAGAACTTAGACATTATTTTCCACTGTTATTTTTTCTATTCTATTTTATACTTTATTTGGGGAGGGGGGGGGCATGTACCCATGTAACCTATATGCAGTATTATTCAGATATAATGCTTATTCAGATATTTTCTTACCTATCTGGGGAAGTTTGTCTTAACATGTTTTCTGACCAGGAACTGTGTTTGACTTTCTGGGGAGAAAATATAATAACTGATTTTCATGATAACAGTAAATTTTAATTCACTTACTAACCACCAATGACCATCCACTTAACAAAAGTAACATATTCATTTCGTAATAAGGATACCAACCAATAAGTGGTTTAAAAACAACACGTTGACAGACAAACAGACAGACAGACAGACAACCCACCAAACTAGAATGGCTGACCCGTGTGCCTGAGCCAAAGGATCTGGAGGGTGGTTTGGGAGAGGGACACGGGGAAAGGGAATTTCTTTTGGGAGGAAGGGGAGGAGGTAAATGACTGGTACGGGGAACTTGATACTCCTCCTGTGAAATCTGTAATAGTGAGAGAGGAATGAGATTAACCAACCATTAAAGTTAAAGTAAATTAAAGAAATGCACAGACTCAGCAAAGTATATAAACCTTGCATTTTAAGTCTAAGCAGGCATTTTCTTAGCAAAGCAATTTGATACATAAATGATACAATACATTTTTGGAATTACTGAGAAAACTTGAGAATGCTTGATAAGAGGGTCTAAGGTACTAGAGCCAATAGTAGAATTCTTGCAAGTAGGGATAAGTCCATATTTTTGTATCATGGCCACTAACCAATAAATGCCCGATATGCACATTCTATATTATTTGTCTAAATGAATTAATCAAAATAAAATGTTAAAATAAAATGAAATGTGTACACTCACTGGCCACTTAATTAGGTACACCTGTTCAGCTGTTCGTAATGTACATCAGCAAATCTCATGGCAGCAACTCATTGCATAATATGTAAATTTAGGTGCTAATATGTACATTTAGGTACTAATATGTACATTTTAGGTGCTAATATGTATATTTTAGCTGCTAATATGTACCACTAAGGTACCAATATGCAGCCTTTGGGTACAAAAGTGTACCTTTTGAGAAGGTACAGCCCCAGTGACAGCTTTTGTACCCTTTTTTCTGAGTGCAGTTGATAATACAAAAAATGCAAACAATGCACAATGAATATTTAAGAACACATAAGTAAACGGGTCAAATCTGTTGAAATATTCAATGAACTTTAGATTATTCAGGAAGGATGTGGGTTTTAGATTGGCAACCAAAAGTTTTCTGATGCCACAATTAAGCACTCTCACCTTTTTCATACAAGCCAGTTTTTTCATTACCAGCTCCACATCCTCATGATCCTCATCTTCATCGTCTTCCTCATTCTCCTCTGGCCTCCTGTCTCTCACTGGCAGGTAGGGCTCAATGAGGATGGACTCCGTGCCTCTGATATCACAGCGGCAGTAGGGGCACGTGTGTCCATCTGATTTCTGCATATTAGAGGGAGTGACACTAATTTCGAAACTCAATTTCACGTACTTATCTAATGCATAAGACACCAAAACAATGGACTCTAGTTCTAAGTTCCCAAAAACATCATACCACAATTTAGCTTATATCTTACGAGAATGAGTTGCACCACTCTTTGAATGTGTTACATTAATTCTAGAGCAGCAGAAATGCATCACATCCTCTCATTCTCTAAGGTACATGTTATCTCACCATGCAATGATGTGTGACTGAACTCGAGAGAAGTGGAAAAACAGTCAAACACGCACACATGCTTGATCAAGCACAGGCAGGAAGCTTGAGCCAAAAAGTCAGGTCATGCTGCATGACGCTGTTTCAAACACTATAATTCATGCAGTTATGCTTTCTGAATGACTTTTTGCTAGTATTTAACTATCAGTTTATGTTAATGGTCTATTGATATTATATAAAATTATACTCCAAGGAGTTCTATTTTTAATGTTTATATGAAGAGTTCAGATGCAAAAGCCTCTAAGTGCCATTTGAAAATTTCTTCTAAAATGATCATTTTTATCAAGCTTGTATATTTAAGTTCAGTAATTTCACTTAAATGGTAATGGAGATTACCTATTAATTGTCATTTAAGTGAAATTACTGAACTTAAATATACAAGCTTGATAAAAATGGTCATTTTAGAAGAAAATTTCAAATGGCATTTAGAGGCTTTTGCATCTGAACTCTTCATATATTTACACCAACAAGACAAACCACAACTATGTTATCATGTATAGCTGTTTTAATTGTGGGTTTTTGGGTGTCACCTCACCATAAATGCTCATGAGTGTAAATCCAAGTGTGAATGGGAGATGTAAAGGTTTGAGCAGCACAATAGGAATATAGTTTACCTGCCACCCAGTCAAGCAGGGCTGACACAGCAGATGCCCGCATGGTTGAATGCGAGTGTCCTTGTCTCGTTCTGTGCAGATTTTGCAGAGCTGAAATGTGCTGCCAATCTCACAGTATAATTCATACTGCTCCTGAAGAGAGAAAGTGAACAAATGAAGGAGAAGGGACTTGCATTCAAGAGATAAAATAAATGAGCAAATCCGAAATAAATTCGAAACTCTCAGTTACCTCTGTGACTTTGACTCGACCCTTGTGAGCCGGACTGCACAGGCTGGTGAGATCAGGGTTCACGTCACGCCCATCAGGGTATAAGTAGCTGCAGACAGAGGTTTTATTTAAGGTTGTATTAACATTATGGTGACAGCTTTAATTTCAGTATGTATCTTTTTTCCCTAAAATAATACACACCAGCCCTCCCTGAAACCTTGTATGAGTGCTTGGTAGAGAGGTGTATTTTGGGGAATGGTTTGCACAATGGTGCCATCACTGGTCACATGCCCAATCGCCCACTGACCCATTTGTGTGCAACTGAGACGAAAGATGTAGCTGTGGATGCACAGAGAGAGCCATTGAGAGATTAGATCTAAACCAGGCTAAATCTAACATTAAACCTTAAGCATCCTATAGTAAATACTTCATTATTTTTGACCTTGATATTGTCTGCTGCATGCCTCACCTGCCAGGACGATGTCTGTAGTGCTCCAGTCGGATTCTGACTTGGTCGTAGGTGAGAAACGCCATGTATCCAGGATGAGTTACTGCTAAATGATTCCAGTTCCTTAACAGAGTTGACCAGGGCTAAAGGGAGAATATCAGATTAAATAGCTTTTTGTTTTGAAGTGGCAATAAAAAGGACCAAAATACAGACAAACGTTTTTATATATAAATATATTTTTATAAACTCTTTTGTTTTCTATTCAGTTTCTATGGGGTTTTCCCATTTTGGATTAAGCATGAAATATATATCAAAATTAAAAATATCAAATTGGAGCTCCCTTAAAATGAAATAATATTATTTTTTTAATATTAAAATAAATTATTTGTAAATATTTTAATTGTGTAACAAAAATATAAATATTTTTTTTGGTCATTAAAATTTGTTAATATATATATTTTTTTACTATAATAAAACTAATATCAATATAATATTTTATGTAAATGACAAGACTTTTGAATCATTTTAATTGTTAGATAAACTCAAGACGATCAAAATCACAGCCAAATGGCCAAACAGACCATTTGATGTGGTTAAAATTATCTACTTTTCATGCCAGATTTTTTTTTTTTTTATGATTTAGTTTATCAAACATTTCTAATAAGTCTCACAACAAACTATTCATGGAATGTGCCTGTTATTTTTAACATCTCCTTAGAAGGTCTCAAGCTCAGTATACCTGAAAAAGCCTGGTGAAAATATCAAACTCAAAGATGGATATGTGATCGTTACAAGTGAGATCAACTGTGGACTTCAAAGCCATGGACTCCATTCCCTCTTCGAAGTAGTGAACCCTCCTCAGCTGCTGTTTAAAAATGTTCCACTGCACTATACATCTGAAAGAGAGAGAGGGGGAATGATTGTCCAAAAATGGATGCATATGGTTTAAAAGTATTTAATACACATTCAATCAATTATTTTTGTCATACTTGTGTCCAAAAGCCTTCTTCCAGAAATCTTTGGCCTCTGTTTTTGTAACCCTATAAGTATCACCCTGAAATCGTCCTCCAGGAAACATATTTCGTAGTTCATTTAACATGTGGCTGAACAGAAGTGACAATTTAGTAAGATTTCTCCTGAAAGATAAAGCAAATTAAAACATAAAATAGGTCAACCTTTATAATAACTTTCATTAATAAATGTTGATTGATTAACAGATCATTATTGAATGTAAATGCTTACAAATGTCAATAAACTTTCAATTAATTAGATCATGCACATCTTGAAAATCTGTAAGTGTCATTAAACTTCACATGTGTTTTTTTCACATTCACTAATGTACAAATTCAAAAAGGCTTTTGGTATTTTCAACAATAAGTTTAACAATATAAGAATGTCTGGTCACAGTTTATATTAGGTGTCTTTAACTACTATGTACTTATGTCAAAAAAAGGATTGTAAGGTAAAATGTACTTTGTGTGATCAAAGTGCAAAACACTTTTTGTTATTGAGGTGGGATATGGTATAAGGTTATGGTCGGGTTTGGTGGTATGTGTAGGTTAAAGTCTTTGGTAAGGGGTCAGCATTACTAAAGTGTTACTAAAAGGGAACATGATTTATATTACTGTTACAATGTGGTTGCAGAATAGATTAAACTGGATAAATGCAACAGCTTTTTTCAAGAACAAACTCAAAACTTCACAAAATAGAATCTCTGAAACCGGAACAGAACAACCAACTAAATGCAACGTAAAACTGAAAGAAGCTCAAGAAAGCAAACTGAGGAACTAATGAGACACACCTAAACTGAAACTCAAATAAAATCAGTAACCATGGAAACACACAGGCGACAGAACTGACAATATGACAATTACATTGTTTTGATAAATGAACAAGTATTTTCTTGAAAAAAAGAAAAACATTTGTTTTCTCCCGTTGATGAATGTTACAAGGAATATCCTATTTAAGGATGTATAATAAGTGTTGAGGCAATAAAAACACGTTTTGCACCTAAATTACAATTATGTGGTGGTATGTCTTTAGCATTTTTTTTTATCTGTAATAACTTTATTGAATAAATAAATAAAATTCTGCTGGTACCTGACTTTTCATAAAATTGTTTGCATTTTCATTTTAAAATGTTTTTGTTTTGTTTTTCAAATAAATTATACATAAGGCAAAAAAAAAAAAAAAAAACCCAAATGAACATATTTACCTATTTTGGCCATATAGGCGGTCATATTGTCACACAGGGTTATAAGTTAATGAATATTATGTTAACATGAATAGTGCATGAAGTGCTTAAAATTGCTAATTAAATGAATTTGTTTATTAATTTAAAAAAAATCACAACATTTGTAAATGTAAAAATGTGCATTAATATATGAATAGAAGTTTAATGAGATTAGCATTTTCTTTACATTTAATAATGATATGTTAATCATGTAATCTTTAATACGTTTATTTAAAAATTAACAAGCATGTTATCGCGTGTGAATATGTATTAACTAATGATCTGTTAAACATTACATTATGTTTGTTAATGATTTATTAATGAAACTTAATATAAAGAGTTACCAATAAATAAATATGAACACAAATGAAGAGTTCAGATGCAAAAGCCTCAGCCTCTCCATTTTAAATTTTCTTCTAGAATGATTTTTTTTTTATCAAACTTGTATATTTAAGTTCAGTAATTTCACTTAAATGGCAATGAAGATTACCTATTAATTGTCATTTAAGTGAAATTACTGAACTTAAATATACAAGCTTGATAAAAATGATCATTCTAGAAGAAAATTTCAAATGGCACTTAGAGGCTTTTCCATCTGAACTCTTCAAATATTTAGTGTGTTGCATGGTAAAACACATTTTTCTGTATAAAGTTGACATAAATACTGCACAGGAGAGCTGTGGTGCTTATTTACAAATTTTTGCAGATATGATGATTGTTGATTGATATATCATATAATCATGTCAACAAGTTTGTACACAACATATTTGTGCATGCACAAACACCAAAAAACGAACAAAAAGAACTGTCATCAGCACAACACACTCTAAGAACTATAAACAGGAAGTAGTACTTTGATACATCCTGTCCTGAGTGTGTGTGGTGAGACTGGTGAGTGGTGACAGAAGTTTCCATTACTAATTGATCAAAGAGGTTGTCATGGTAACGTCAGCATCCTCTGCTCAGAACAGATCGGCACCCTTCATTTAAAAATGCTGTATAATGTTTGACTAACGTCCATTGTAGTTTATAAGACTAATTTATTATAGTAATTACGTTTTTATCATTGTACTATAATAATGATTAGACAGAATCATCTTGTAATTGACATTCACTGAGACTATTTCTGTTTGACTGTGGATAATGTGGCTTTGTGTGTTGAAATGCATATGGATAAACGCTCTGGCCTGGGTTTTAAACTGACCAACCACGGCTTGTATGGAACAGATTTTTCCACTCATACAATATGACCGGTTACTTTCTACTTTTATCTCCAGCTTAGTCACAAAGCACTCAGTGCACCGCTTCTTAGGCTTGAACTTTCCTTCAGTCATGTTTTTAAAGTTTCCAGTTCCACCACACAAACTGTCAGTGTCCTGTCCACTAACCATGTTGGCTTGTTTTCAGCATTGTCAAGCAATCACAAACTAGGTGAAATTAGCTCTATGTACCCACATGTACAGTAATAGGTTTGTGTGGTGATTCTGTTCCATTTAATAGAATGAGTGAAATGAATTAGCATGCTTGACTGAAACATTTAAACCAAATGGGGTAGGAACTGTGAACTACTGTATCTATTTATGAAACATGTAAAACAGTTCTGTCGTAATCAATGTGTGTGTGTGTGTGTGTGTGTGTGTGGTTTCGCCGAGTTAGACGCGTCCCTGCTTCAACGTATTTCCAAACCTTACCCCAACCATAAGTTATCCGGAAAATCAGAGGGAAATGATAGGTGAATAACACTGAAGTAGCGCCTAACCCTGGTTGTAAGGCTAAACTTGACATAAACTGTAAACTTGTTCAACTCTGATTGGTTAAGGAATGTTGAACGTTGAGGTGAAATCAGGTTCTGCATGGCACAGTTTCCTTTTAGATTGTCTTTTTCTATGTTACATTTCTAGTTGTGACATGCTGCGTGAAACATGTATTAATTTGTAGGTCAAGCAAGAGGTATCCTGTTGCACTGAAAACCTCAATAAATTGGCAAAACTCAAAAACAATTGTGGTAAGCAGTTACATAAAAATGTTTAAGTTAAGAAATGTAAGGCCCAAAGCAGAACTGGCAGATTTTTATTTTGGACTCATACATTTTAACTGGTATTAACTTGAATTATTTGTGTAAGCTAATTCATAACTTAAAACATCTTGTAATCTCAACCTAAATATTTTAAGTAATGGAAACTTTTACTATAGCTGATTCAGAAAATGCTAATCGGGTTATTGGCAACACAATGCTATGACAGCATTAGCATTGCAATTTCTGAACTAGATTAAAAAGTTCGTCGAGACAAACTTTAAGTTGGCTTGTGAAAGTTTGGAACAGAAAGTTTGAAGAAGTTTAAAGTAGTTTGAAGAAGTTTAAAGTAGTTTGAAGTTTAAATTAGTCTAAAGTTTAAATTAAGTTTAACTTAGTTTAAAGATAGATAGATAGATAGATAGATAGATAGATAGATAGATAGATAGATAGATAGATAGATAGATAGATAGATAGATAGAGAGATAGATAGATAGAGTTAGAAAGAGACAGATGGAGTTAGATAGATAGATAGATAGATAGATAGATAGATAGATAGATAGATAGATAGATAGAGTTAGAAAGAGACAGATGGAGTTAGACAGATAGATACATAGATAGATAGATACATAGATAGATAGATGCTAGGGTATTCTGGGTGGTTGCTATGGTGTTGCTAGGTGGTTGTTAGGGTGTTCTTGGTGGTTGCTAGGGTGTTGCTAGGCAGTTGCTAGGGTGTTCTGGGTGGTTGCTATGGTGTTGCTAGGCGGTTGCTAGGGTGTTCTGGGAGGTTGCTATGGTGTTGCTAGGCGGTTGCTAGGGTGTTCTGGGTGGTTGCTAGGGTGTTGCTAGGCAGTTGCTAGGGTGTTTTGGGTGGTTGCTATGGTGTTGCTAGGTGGTTGTTAGGGTGTTCTTGGTGGTTGCTAGGGTGTTGCTAGGCGGTTGCTAGGGTGTTCTGGGTGGTTGCTAGGGTGTTGCTAGGCAGTTGCTAGGGTGTTTTGGGTGGTTGCTATGGTGTTGCTAGGTGGTTGTTAGGGTGTTCTTGGTGGTTGCTAGGGTGTTGATAGGCGGTTGCTAGGGTGTTCTGGGTGGTTGCTATGGTGTTGCTAGGCGGTTGCTAGGGTGTTCTGGGAGGTTGCTATGGTGTTGCTAGGGTGTTCTGGGTGGTTGCTAGGGTGTTGCTAGGCAGTTGCTAGGGTGTTTTGGGTGGTTGCTATGGTGTTGCTAGGTGGTTGTTAGGGTGTTCTTGGTGGTTGCTAGGGTGTTGCTAGGCGGTTACTAGGGTGTTCTGGGTGGTTGCTATGGTGTTGCTAGGGTGTTCTGGGAGGTTGCTATGGTGTTGCTAGGCGGTTGCTAGGGTGTTCTGGGTGGTTGCTAGGGTGTTGCTAAGCAGTTGCTAGGGTGTTCTGGGTGGTTGCTATGGTGTTGCTAGGCGGTTGCTAGGGTGTTCTGGGAGGTTGCTATGGTGTTGCTAGGCGGTTGCTAGGGTGTCCTGGGTGGTTGCTATGGTATTGCTACTTGGTTGGTAGTGTTCACATATGGTTACTATAAAGTATCCATATTCGCATTTAGCTATTCACAGCTAGCATGTTTAGCATATTGAAAGTCCTGTGTGCTAGCATGAGTCAAAAGACCCAACCCCCATCGCGATACAATTTTCTGATTTTGAGATATAGCTGTTAAAATATGGTTGCTAGGGTACTCTGTTTGGTTGCTAGGGATTGGCTTGACAGCTGCCAATCATGAAACTCCAAAGGCTGCTTGTCAGTATGAATGATTTAAACCGATCCCCATCTCTATATGTTGTTCTGATGCAGAGATATAAATCTTGCTTAATGGTTGCTAGGGTACTCTGTTTAGTTGCTAGGGAGTGGCTTGTCAGCTGCCAG